TGTTGTGTGCCTCCTCGGACTCTGTGTTGCCCACTGACTATGGGGGGTACCTGATTGTGTTTGACAAGGTGCGCGCCGATGCTCTGCCTCCTCATTGTCCATACAATTGTGTCATAACCTTACAACCCAATGCCACTCCTCCACGTGGCAGGGTGTATCCTCTTTCGGTTGCGGAGAATCAGGCCATGGAGGAGTACATTGCGGATGCGCTTTCCCGGGGGCACATTCGAAAGTCTACTCTCCAGCAGGAGCTGGCTTTTTCTTCGTGAAAAAGAAGGGCGGTGAATTGAGGCTTTGCATTGATTTTAGGGGTCTCAATCGAATCACGATTAGGAATGCTTACCCAATTCCGTTGATTACCGAGTTGTTCGACCGCCTCAAGGGAGCAACGGTCTTTACTAAACTCGACCTTAGGGCTGCGTACAACCTCATACGGATCAAGGAGGGCGACGAGTGGAAGACCGCGTTCAACACCAGAACTGGCCACTATGAATCCCTGGTTATGCCCTTCGGGTTGTGTAACGTGCCCGCGGTCTTTCAGGAGTTCATTAATGATGTCTTTTGTGACTTGTTGCAGCAGTGCGTGGTTGTTTACTTGGACGATATCCTGGTTTACTCTGCATCTATGGAGTCTCATATCCAGGATGTTAAGCGGGTGCTGCAACGGTTACGTGAGAACGAGCTTTTCTGTAAGCTCGAGAAGTGTGAATTTCACCGATCCCAGGTTGCGTTTTTGGCCTACATCATTTCCGCTGTGAGATTTTCCATGGACCCTCAGAAGGTTTTGGTGGTTCTGCAGTGGCCTCGTCCCAGTGGTCTTCGGTCTATTCAGTGCTTTTTGGGATTTGCCAACTATTAAATCGGAAGTTTATCAGGAACTTTTCCACGCTTGCCAAGCCTCTCTCAGATCTGACCAAGAGGGGCAGTAATCCCCACGAGTGGTCATCCAAGGCCATCTTAGCTTTCGAAGCTCTGAAATCCGCCTTCGCTTCGGCTCCAATACTGTCTCATCCCAATCCTGGGTTGCCTTTTGTCCTCGAGGTTGATGCATCTGAGACGGGAGTAGGCATCCTCCTGTCTCAGCGTCAGTCGCCCGATGGACCCCTACTTCCCTGTGGGTTCTATTCCAGGAAGCTTTCCTCCGCAGAATGCAACTACCAGACTGGAGAAAGGGAGTTCTTGGCCATTATTCAGGCTCTCAAGGAATGGAGGCACCTGCTCGAGGGTTCTGCGGTTCCGGTCCTCATTCTCACTGACCACAAGAACCGGACGTATCTCTCGGAAGCTAAGAGGTTGACGCCCCGTCAGGCCAGATGGTCTGTGTTCTTGTTGCGTTTTAACTATGTGGTCTCTTATTTGCCTGGCTCCAAGAATGTCAGGGCTGATGCCTTGTCGCGGCAATACTCTGAGCTGTCCAGGGAGGACTCTGAGCCGACCTCATACCTCAGGATCAGATCCTGGCTGCCATTCGTACCAGCCTGACTTCTCCCCTTGGGGAGCAGATTTTGGCTGCTCAAACTGATGCTCCCTCTGAGAGACCGGTTGGTAGATGTTTCGTACCTGAGGGATTGCGCATCCGCTTGCTGTGTACCTACCATAATTCCAAGACTGCCGGTCATCCAGGGAGGAACCAGTTGTCCTGGGTCGTTTCTTGTTTATTCTGGTGGCCATCTCTCCATTCCGACATCGCCTCATAAGTAGCGGCATGTTCTGTCTGTGCCCAGAATAAATCTCCTCGGCATCTTCCATTAGGCCTTCTGCAACCCATTTCCAATGGGGAGCGTCCCTGGTCACACCTGGGCATGGATTTCATTGTAGACCTCCCTGCGTCTCGAGGCCATACGGTCATTCTTATGGTCATTGATCGTTTCTCCAAGATGTGCCATTGTGTTCTGTTCAAGAAATTGCCGACTGCGCAAGAACTGGCTACGGTTTTCGCCAGGGAGATCTTTTGCTTGCATGGGTTGCCTAAGGTGATTGTCTCGGACCGTGGGAGCCAGTTTGTGTCCAGGTTCTGGCGTGCTTTCTGCTCCCAGTTGGGTATCAAGCTCTCATTCTCTTCGGCCTACCACCCGCAGTCCAATGGGGCTGCGGAGCGTTCCAACCAGGCCCTGGAACAATTAGTTCGCTGCTATATCTCAGACCATTAAGACAATTGGGTCGATCTCCTGCCATGGGCAGAGTTTGCGAGGAACTCGGCTGTCAACTCCTCCTCCGGGATGTCTTCCTTCATGGCCAACTATGGGTTCCAACCCGCTGTATTGCCCGAGATGTTCTCGCCACAGGACATTCCGTATGTGGATAACCATCTTGCTGCCCTGCGTTCCTCGTGGGGGCAGATCCAGAGGTCCTTGAAGGACTCAGCTCAGCGCCAGAAGCTCCAGGCTGATCGTAGATGGTTGCCCGCTCCTTCATACCAGGTCAGAGATCGGGTGTGGTTGTCCACTCGTAACCTCAATCTTCGGGTGCCCGCACCGAAACTGGCTCCGTTTTATTGGTCCTTTCCGCATCCTCCGCAGGGTGAACCCGGTTGCCTATGCCCTTGCTCTTCCTCCTGGGATGCGTATCTCCAATGTCTTCCACGTATCCCTGTTGAAGCCTCTGGTCTGTAATCGCTTTACTGCCTCTCCGCCTCGGCCTCGTCCTACCCGGGTTGACGGTCATGAGGAGTATGAGGTGAGCCGCATCCTGGACTCTCAGTTGGTCCGCAGTCGGGTGCAGTTCCTGGTCCACTGGCGTGGTTATGGTCCCGAGGAGCATTCCTGGGTTCCTTCTGCGGATGTTCATGCTCCTGCCCTCCTCCGCGCTTTTCACGCCCGCTTTCCCCAGAAGCATTATGTTGAGCTACGGAGGGGGAGGGGCCCTTGAGGAGGAGGTACTGTCAGGAATAGACTCGCCAATGGTGGTGGGACTCACCTACCTTGTGGGCTGCTGCAGTACCAGGGCTGGCCAGCGGGTGCTCTCAGCAGCCAGAAGCTCACTCCTGCAATCAAGCCATCACCTGAGGCTGATTGCAGGAGGTGTATTTAAGGAATGGCCAGGCCTGCAGTCAGGGACTTGGTGTATTGTTCCCATGAGCCCCTGTACCTGCATCCTGTCTGCTTCCTGCCTGATCCTGACTCTGCTTGAACTCTGCCTGCACCGACCTCGGCTACTCCTGACCAATCTTCTGCCTACTCCTTGTACCTTGTCTGCTCCTTAGCTACAGACCCGGCCCGCCTGACTACATTGTGCTCCATATTTATATATATATATATATATATATCAGTTAAGGTTTGGGTTTGTTGCACCTTGTTGTACGTATTTGTGTTAGTTTTGGGTTTGGTTTGTTGCACTGCGTTTATGTCTGTGTTGCCCTAATAAATTATACTGTTTTACACGCTATGCCTGAAGTCTGTGTTTCCCTGTGTCGGTCCACACACCTCTGGTCATACCTGGAGCCCTGACATTAGACCAAGGCCAGACCAGAAGTGGCTGCACAGGGAAGCCATCTTGGCTTGTTGTTGGGAAGGATGCATCCTGAGGAGGTTGTGTACTTGTATCTGCTAGTCTTAGATGACAGAGATTATACCTATCAGACTCTGAAGGAGTATGCCAGGGATCAGCTGCTAGAATGCATACAGATCGCTAATTTCCTAGTAGATCAGGGCACGGAGTTCTCTGAGGTGCAACCATTGATTCAGGCTTGTGCGGAGTTGGCTTCATCTAGTACCCCTGAAAGCAAGGATGACTTTTTGCCGCCATTTAGTGCAGACCAAGTAGAGTCACTGGTATGGTTATTGGAGGATGATGCGGGTTACTTCTTGGAGCATTATTCAGCATGTTCACAACAGGTGCTAGTGGATTGTATAAACGCAGTGCAGTCTTTGGTCAGACAGGCTTTGTGTAAGCTGAGCTTTGTTCAACCAGTACTACAGTCATGGTCAGATTTGTTACACCCAGCCTCAGTCAGCTTGCAACAACCCAGTCCTGCTTCTAATCATTCCTCTGCTCAAAGCTCTCTTCCTCCATTTCCCACAGCACCCCCAGTGACAGCCCAGTATACCCTGCTATCTACCACGTCAGTCCCCTGTTCCCACTCGCTGCACCTATCCTGCCTTTAACCCTGTAAAGAAGTCCTCTGTAGAAGCTGCTCCCTCTGTTTACAGACCTGCACTTACTTGCAGTGCTCCAGTAACAAAAACCAAAAAGAAGCGAAAATTCTTTCCAACCAAGTACCATGCTGCCAGTATCCAAACCGGTCAGTCTGCGGCCTGAGAACCCGCCTTCTGTTATCCAGCCTGGTGCCCACTGTTCAGCCTGATGCCCGGATGCCTGATGACCCAGTGTACGCAACCCAGCCTGATGATCCTACCCAGCCTGATGACCTGATCCAGCCTGATGACCTGATCCAGCCTGATGACCCGATTCAGCCTGATGACCCGATTCAGCCTGATGACCCGATTCAGCCTGATGACCCGATTCAGCCTGATGACCCGATTCAGCCTGATGACCCGATTCAGCCTGATGACCCGATTCAGCCTGATGACCCGATCCAGCCTGATGACCCGATCCAGCCAGACCCGATCCAGCCTGATGATGACCCGATCCAGCCTGATGACCCGATCCAGCCTGATGACCCGATTCAGCCTGATGACCCGATCCAGCCTGATGACCCGATCCAGCCTGATGAACCGATCCAGCCTGATGACCCGATCCAGCCTGATGAACCGATCCAGCCAGACGACCCGATCCAGCCTGACGACCCGATCCAGCCTGACGACCCGATCCAGCCTGACGACCCGATCCAGCCTTGCGACCCGATCCAGCCGGATGACCCGATCCAGCCGGATGACCCGATCCAGCCGGATGACCCGATCCAGCCTTATGACCCGATCCGGTGCCCGCAGTCCAACCTGACGCCTCGGTGCCCGCTGTCTTGCCTGTCCTATCTGATGACTCGGTGCCCGCTGTCCTGCCAGATGACCCGGGTGCCCGCTGTCCTGCCAGATGACCCGGTGCCCGCTGTCGAGCTTGGTGACTCGGTGTACGCTGTCGTGCCAAATGACTCGATGTCCGCTGTCGTGCCAGATGACTCTGTGTCCGCTGTCGTGCCAGATGACTCGGTGTCCGCTGTCCTGCCAGATGACTCGGTGCCCGCTGTCCTGCCAAATGACTCAGTGCCCGCTGTCGAGCTTGGTGACTCGGTGCCCGCTGTTGTGCCAGATGACCCAGTGCCCGCTGTCGTGCCAGATGACTCGGTGCCCGCTGTCATGCCAGATGACTCAATGCCCGCTGTCGTGCCAGATGACTCGGTGCCCGCTGTCGAGCTTGATGCCTAGGTGCCGGCTGCCTCGCCTGATAGCCGATGCCCGTTGCCTCGCCTGATGGCCCGGTGCCCCGCCTGATGGCCCGGTGCCCACTGCCTCGCCTGATGGCCCGGTGCCCGCTGCTCCACCTGATGGCCCGGTGCCCCTCTGCTTCGCCTGATGGGCCCGATGCCTCGCCTGATGGCCCGATGCCTCACCTGAGGCTGATTGCAGGAGGTCTATTTAAGGAATGGCCAGGCCTGCAGTCAGGGCCTTGATGTATTGTTCCCATGAGCCCCTGTACCTGCATCCTGTCTGCTTCCTGCCTGATCCTGACTCTGCTTGAACCCTGCCTGCACCAACCTTGGCTACTCCTGACCAATCTTCTGCCTACTCCTTGTACCTTGTCTGCCTGTTAGCTACCGACCCGGCCCGTCTGACTACGTGGTGCTTCATATTTATATATATATATATCAGTTAAGGTTTGGGTTTGTTGCACCTTGTTGTACGTATTTGTGTTAGTTTTGGGTTTGATTTGTTGCACTGCGTTTATGTCTGTGTTGCCTTAATAAATTATATTGTTTTACACGCTATACCTGAAGTCTGTGTTTCCCTGTGTCGGTCCACACACCTCTGGTCATACCCGAAGCCCTGACAGGTACTGTCAAGGTCCTACCTTTCCTCAGGGCTTGTGCTGCTCCATGTGCTGGCATCCATCTTAGGTGTCTGCAAAGCATTGTGGGATCCTTTATGCTTTCAGCCTCTGCAGCTCCTCCCCCAGGCGGTGGCGGCTTATCACATAAGTCTGCTGTTTGTAGCTGTCCATTGCATTCGTGTCCTGTCTGTTGCACAGCAGCAAGCTCCGTTTAGTTTCTCATTGCTCTCCTGGATACCGACTCGGCTTTGGCAAGACTCCTTTCTGGCTTCTGACCCCGGCTCTGGCGACCATCCTTCCTGGCTTCTGACCCCGGTTTTGGCGACCATCCTTCCTGGCTTCTGACCCCAGCTCTGGTGATCATCTTTCCTGGATTCTGACCTCGGCTCTGGCGATCATCTTTCCTGGCTTCTGACCCCAGCTCTGGCAATCGTCTTTCCTGGCTTCTGACCTACCAAGTCACCCGCTGTTGCTGTTGGACTTGCATAGACTCTGTCTTGTTTTTGTATAATAAACCTACCTTTAATTGCACCTCCTTGTGTGTCTGGCTCCTCGCTCCCTGACAGCATACCTTCTCTCTATTTCCGTGACATTGAGCGCATGGTTAGTAGGATTATTCAAATCCACTCCTTCTACCACTAAGATTAAACTAGACATACCATTAACAACCTATGAACATCTTATTCCCAATCTTAATGTAAAACCTTTGAGAGAAGTGGGCTACTCTAAGTTTACTGACATCCATCCGTCACAATTGCGGGGAAATAGATACCCCTTTTTTTTTCAGATTAGGGATTACCTTGGTGCCAATTACAATTCGGGAGAGGAGGTGGATTCTAAGAGTTGGAATATTTTATCGAACTCGTCTGGATTAAAAAAAGGGCATATCATGGTTTTACAAATTCTTACAATATGACTCTGATCACTCAGTGATAGCATGTGTGAAGAGGTGGGAGAGGGACTTGGGGACATCATTTACTCCAGAAGAGTGGCAAGGGGCCTGGTCCTGTAACATCAGTCTTTCAAAGTGTACTAATCATTGGGATAGCTCCCTTAAGATCTTATACCGCAGTTATCCTACCCCATATAAACTTTACAAGATTTACCCTAATGCATTGCCTTCTTGCTGGAGGGCTTGCGGTAGGGTTGGAAACTTACTACATGTTCTTTGGGATTGTGTGCATATGCGGGAATTTTGGAGAAAAGTTTTCGCTTTGATTTCTCGGGTGTCAGGAATACAAACAAGTGCCAATCCTCATCTGGCATTATTATTATTTATTTCCTGTCCAATGTCGATCATTGCCGACATCTTAATTGCTGTTAACTATCACTAAAGCGTGGAATTCTACTACATCTCTGCCTATTTCGGAAGTGATTACTAGAGAACACTCCCATTACCTACAGGTGAAACTCGAAAAATTAGAATATCATGCAAAACTTCATTTATTTCAGTAATGCAACGTAAAAGGTGAAACTAATATATGAGATAGACTCATTACATGCAAAGCAAGATAGTTCAAGCCGTGATTTGTCATAATTGTGATGATTATGGCTTACAGCTCATGAAAACCCCAAATCCACAATCTCAGAAAATTAGAATATTACATGCAATCAATAAAACAAGGATTGTACATAGAACAATATCGGACCTCTGAAAAGTATAAGCATGCATATGTACTCAGTACTTGGTTTGGGCCCCTTTTGCAGCAATTACTGCCTCAATGTGGCGTGGCATGAAAGCTATCAGCCTGTGGCACTGCTGAGGTGTTATGGAAGACCAGGATGCTTCAATAGCGGCCTTCAGCTCTTCTGCATTGTTTGGTCTCATATCTCTCATCTTTCTCTTGGCAATGCCCCATTGATTCTCTATGGGGTTCAGGTCAGGCGAGTTTGCTGGCAAATCAAGCACAGTAATCCCATGGTCATTGAATCAGGTTTTGGTGCTTTTAGCAGTGTGGGCAGGTGCCAAGTCCTGCTGAAAAATGAAGTCAGCATCCCCATAAAGCTCGTCTGTGGAAGGAAGCATGAAGTGCTCCAAAATCTCTTGGTAGATGGCTGCGTTGACCCTGGACTTAATGAAGCACAGTGGACCAACACCAGCAGATGACATGGCTCCCCAAATCAACACAGACTGTGGAAACTTCACACTGGACTTCAAGCATCTTGCAGTGTGTGCCGCTCCATTCTTCCTCCATACTCTGGGTCTTTGGTTTCCAAATGAGTAGCAAAAGTTGCTCTCCAGAAAAGAGGACTTTGGACCACTGAGCAACAGACCGGGTCTGTTTTTCTTTAGCCCAGGTAAGACGCTTCTGACGTTGTTTGTTGTTCAGGAGCAGCTTGACAAGAAGAATACGACATTTTAAGCCCATGCCCAGGATAGGTCTGTGTGTGGTGGCTCTTGATGCATTGACTCCAGTCTCAGTCCACTCCTTGTCAAAGTCCCCAACACTTTTGAATGGCTTTTTCCTGACAATCCTCTCCAGGCTGTGGTCATCCCTGCTGCTTGTGCACCTTTTTCTTCCACACACTTTTCCCTTCCACATAACTTTCTATTAATGTGCTTTGATACAGCACTTTGGGAACATCCAACTTCCTTTACTCCCACTTCCTGGGAGGAGCTTGGTGTGGAGAGCTGTGTGTGGACTTGCCCTCTGACTTCCAGAGGCCTTGTTTTGGAGCCAGGGACTGGATTCCTCTCCCAGCCCAGGAGAGATGAGTGTTCCCAGGCAGGACCCTGGAGGCGGGGGTCCCCCCAAGGGCCCTAGTACCGGCCTCATACTTACACCTACTGAGGACCTGGGAGAGGGCCCCAAGGCTGGTGAGTCATATGCAGTATACCACGGACGAGTGGCCACGCACGTGAAAAGGATCGCTAGAGAGGAGGAAAAAAACGTTCTCAGCTAAAGATGGATTTGAAGCGCTACAGATCGACATACAATAGGGTCTGGAACTCAAAAAGACAGACCATGAGGCCTGAGCTGGTGAGGTTGGAGCAGGCAGTCCGTCTGCAGGACGAGCGAGTGTCCACACTGAAGGCTGCAAGTGGGCTGCTGAAAGAGAAGTACAGCAATGAAGACCGCTTTAAACAAGCAAGGGAGAAGACTTTTTCTGCAGCAAGAGGCCAACCCAGAGATGTCCTGTCTTCAGAGGAATCGTCTGACACCACAGCCGGGGCGTCGGCTGCAACAGTCTGCCAAATGGAGGGATCCACTTCTGGAGAGGCAATGAGTGAGGTGCTGGTGTCTGACCCACCTGCACAGCAGAAGCTGGACTGGGGAACACAGGTGGAGGAGAGTGAAGAGGCCGGGCTGATGGATTTCATTACAGAGATGGAGTCCCCACTGCAAGGCAGGCAGTTTACCTTCTCATCTGAGGACACAGATTCTGAGATGGATGAAGATAAGTGCCCGAGACCAGTGATACCAAAGGGGAAGGAAAGAGCTGTGTTTGTGAGGCTGGAAAGGATTTCCAGAGCTCAGGAGAGAGCTGCAGGACTGAGAGTGGGGAGTGTGGAGGCAGAGTTACAGAGTGCTGCTGAAGCAGGACTGTGAGTAAAGCCATGGACATTGAGGGGGAGAGAGTATCAGCTGCAGCCAATGTGAATGTCTGTGTGGCTGCTGGTGGTAAGGCTGGTGCAGTAGGAAAGGCTGTCAGTGATGTGTCTCCCCTGCCTGTGTCCCCCCTGCTTGTGTCAGACGTGCACAGTGTGGAGAGCAGGGTTATCCCTGCTTCTGACCCGGCTTCAGTCCCAATTATGGTGCCTGTTCAGGCTTCAGCCCCTGCTGTTAGCTCTGCCCCTGTCTGTGCCTCCATCCCTGCGCCAGGCTGTGTTACTGTGTGGGGTCCCACCCCTACCCCCCCATTCAGTGTCAGTAATGGCTGCTGGTGGTATATCTAGTGTTACAGGAGAGCCGGTCAGTGATGTGTTCCCCCTGCTTGTGTCAGATGTGCAACTGCATGGAGAGCAGGGTGATCCCCGCCTCTGACCCGGCTTCAGTTCCTGCCCATGCATTAATCATGGCGCCTGTTCAGGCTTCAGCCTCTGCTGTTAGCTCCGCCCCATCTGTGTCTCCATCCCTGCTCCAGGCTCCGTTACTGTGCGGGGCCCCATCCCTACCCCTCGTTCAGTGTCAGTAATGGCTGCTGGTGGTAAATTTAAGGTTGCAGGAAAGCCTGCTTGTGATGTGTCCCCCCTGCTTTGTGTCAGATGTGCACGGCATGGAGAGCAGGGTGATCCCCGCCTCTGACCCGGCTTCAGTTCCTGCCCATGCATTAATTATGGCGCCTGTTCAGGCTTCAGCCTCTGCTGCTGGCTCTGCCCCCATCTGTGTCTCCGTCCCTGCTCCAGGCTCTGACAATACCTTTGTCCCCACTCATACTTCCGTGCAGGCCCCGCCCTTGCTGCTGGCTCAGTGTCTGCTTCCAAGGTTGATACAGTCCGAGCTCCTGACTCGGTTTCAGCTCCGATGTCAGGACCGGACTCACTGCTTGACATCCCCGCCCCTACTGATATGATGGCTTCAGGGCGGGGTCCCCCGTCCCCGCTCTTGGCCCCACCC